TTTTAATTTAAAGTATTTTTTCCCTTTTTCAGTATTAATAATTTTTTTATAGCATGCTGTAACAGTAATACTAATATTTTTATTAAATTGATTTTATAAACTTTAAATTTTAACTTTTTAATTGGAAAATTTTTATTAGTAAAATACTTATTTTGAAAATTTAAGAGAAAATACCCAAACATTTAAGTGAGAATAATATATATGCTTTTTTTATATATTTAAATATTTTATTGTCCAAATTATCTTAGAAGGTTGTTATAGTGAATATAAATTTGAGTAAGACTATCCATTATGTTTATCAAATATAACCAGTTAATGAGTTTTTTAAAGACTTAAGGGATATTATTTTTTTATAGATATTAATTAATTTTGTAAAAATCATTTCGAAGGGACCACAGTGATTATACATTGAGTAATAACTGTTTATTATTTGATGTATGTAAAATTTCAAGTTTAGCTCAAGTTAATCAATAATTAACATTCATATATAATGGATAGAGAAGATAGAATTATCTCCTTAAATCTTAATAATTACAAAATTATAATACTTTTTTAATATGTTTTCAAAGTTTTTTGATATCTTTGTCAATTAACAGGTGATTGATACATTATCTTGAATTGAGAGTAATATTAAAATTAATCAATATCATATTGTTAACTTTTGTTATATAGTTTACATTATATTCTAAGATTAACTTTAATTTTTTAATCCTTGTCATATCTTTTTTATTATTATCTTTTTTATAAATATATCTTTTACTATTTATAAACTAATTTTACAAAATTATTAATTACATCTATTAAGACTTATGTTTATAAATAGTAATAAATTAAATAAATTATCAGAATATCTTATGAAATAATCATGCAGTTTTTTGTTAAGTTAGTTTTCAATTATGTAATTAAAATTAGTCTTTATTTTAATTTCTTCATTTAACTCACTGTTCTCTGTTTGGATTATTAATTTAATGTAGTATCATTTAACATTAAATCTCTATAAATGTTAATTAATATCAGGTTTTTTTAAGGAGATCTCAATAAATATACCCTACATTTCCTTGAAAGGGAATACTTTTGAAAAACTTGTATCAATCAAGAAATCAAAATTAAGAATAAAAAAAAAGAGAGCATTAAAAAAATATAAAGAATGAATTAAAATAATAATTGTAATGTTGTTGATAAATAATAATTATCACTTTTACTTAAGATCTTCCAAAAAGCAACTACCTTTGGATTTCAATAAAGGTCTCAAATCAGTGCCTTGATGATTAATGAATTCTCCTTTGAGAACAATTGCTCCTTTTGCTTAGAATATAGCGGATTAAGAAATTAGGAGTGTAGTGATGTAATTTGATGCTAAAATATAAAAAAAAAATTAATATTACCTTCTTATATTGCACTATTTTATTAGAGCGGAATTTTTAATTATGCAAGAATATCTTTGTAGTTTTTATCAGAGGATTTAATTTCTTATCCTGTCTTTACATCCCATAGACGGATAGAGTTATCATTACTACCAGAAGCTAATGTATTTCCATCAGGAGAGAAACAGACTGAGTTGACTGAATATTAATGACCATCTAATTTGGCTTTTTATTATCCTGTTTTAACATCCCATAGACGGATATACTCATCTCTACTACCAGAAGCTAATGTATTTCCATCAGGAGAGAAACAGACTGACTTGACACCAAATGAATGACCATCTAATTTGGCTTTTTATTATCCTGTTTTGACATCCCATAGACGGATAGACTTATCATCACTACCAGAAGCTAATGTATTTCCATCAGGAGAGAAACAGACTGAGTTGACATATTAAGTATGACCATCTAATTTGGCTGTTTATTATCCTGTTTTGACATCCCATAGACGGATAGACTTATCATCACTACCAGAAGCTAATGTATTTCCATCAGGAGAGAAACAGACTGAGTTGACAGTACTAGTATGACCATCTAATTTGGCTTTTTATTATCCTGTTTTGACATCCCATAGACGGATAGACTTATCATCACTACCAGAAGCTAATGTATTTCCATCAGGAGAGAAACAGACTGAGTAGACAGTACTAGTATGACCATCTAATTTGGCTTTTTATTATCCTGTTTTGACATCCCATAGACGGATAGACTTATCATCACTACCAGAAGCTAATGTATTTCCATCAGGAGAGAAACAGACTGAGTAGACAGTACTAGTATGACCATCTAATTTGGCTTTTTATTATCCTGTTTTGACATCCCATAGACGGATAGACTTATCATCACTACCAGAAGCTAATGTATTTCCATCAGGAGAGAAACAGACTGAGTAGACAGTACTAGTATGACCATCTAATTTGGCTTTTTATTATCCTGTTTTGACATCCCATAGACGGATAGACTTATCATCACTACCAGAAGCTAATGTATTTCCATCAGGAGAGAAACAGACTGAGTAGACAGTACTAGTATGACCATCTAATTTGGCTTTTTATTATCCTGTTTTGACATCCCATAGACGGATAGACTTATCATCACTACCATGAGTGAACATACTGAAAATAATATATCACTATGTTCTTCTAATTAATATACTTGTTTATTTTTTTCAATTACAATCAAACAAATAAGCTCTATTTAAATTAATTCCGTTTATATTCACATTTTCTAATTTTGATTTTGGTAAATTGCATTTTGCTAAAGTTCCTCCAAATAAAGAAAGTATTTTTATTCTAATATTTTCAGATTTCAGTATGTTAGATCAACCTACATTTCAACAAATATATTTATTGCATTATAACCACTTATTGTAAAATTATTTTCTGTCTCAGTGAGATGATCAAAAAATTTCCCAAATACTACAATCCTAACCTTTTGTGATATTTTATAAATGAGATATTATCTATTTTCAGCTTAAATTTTAGAGTATTAATAAACAGAATAAATATCATGCTCTTTTATGATTTAGAACAAATAAGTAATTGAATCTTATTTATTTTCTTTTGACAACATTTCAATTATAGTTTTCAATATTTCTATATTAAAATCTTTTGATTCAACTAATACCTCGTATAAATCAGCCGCAATTAAGAACTGATTTATGGAAAAATTAAAATTTAGCACCTTTTGATTACACAAGAGAACAACTTAATGTCTCTTTTCTATAAGATCCAAATAAACAAAAATCATAAAAAAAGTCATTTTACAATCTTTGCTTTTCTCTTTCTTCTTTTTACCAAAACTATTTTTATTAAACTTAAGCCTTTTCATTTATGTTCAGCCCTTTCGCAAATTTGGCTATATATTTAACTTTGAAGAAATAACTCTTTTAATGAAGCAATAAGTTCTTCAATTTTTTCTTTTTGTATTGCAACTTTAGCTGATAATAATTCGAATCGCAAAATAGCAAATGGTTTTTTTCAATACCTTCAAAAGTTAGATCATAAATGAGATGGTTTATTGCTACCAAACCATTTATCATATTATGTGGATACCCTTTTGTATTTTCAAAATATTGAATTATATTTAATCTTGTCAAAGCCTAACCTTAAAATTAGAATAAAAATTAATATTAAATAAGAGATTTATATTCTTTTTTTTCTTTAAGTCTATTTAAACCATAGTTTAAGTCTGAGATTTTTGGATTCATAAATAAATGTAAATTAAAAATCAGGATTAGTTTCTCTGTCATATCTAATAAATATATAGCTTATTTATATCAAATAAAAGCTTGGTCGATATTTTATTGTGAAAATTAACCATCAAATAAAAAATATCAAGATTAAAGCTATATTAATGTCTAAAATTTATTTTCTTCACTTAATAGCACCTCCAAATAATTTAGCTGGCTTTTTCTAAATGAATTTTGAATATATTCATTTATTTTTCTTAAGCAGATCTGGAGTCAATCAAATTAACAAAACAGATGCGTTTATAGGAAATTATTCAATTTTTATTGAAGGTAAACTTATTATGGCAAAACACAAATGCCGTAAGTATCACCTTATAAAAGTATAATGTGGCCAGCTGAACCCCAAACAGTTCCCCATGAGATTCTGATCTTCCAAACTCCATCAGATGAAACACCAACAACAAGAATTGCATGATTTGAATTTCTATCACATGTTGTTAGGATCCTACTTTTTATGCATTAATTGTAAAATAATTACTATAAAATTACCAAAGAGTGGCATCAACATAGACAGGAATCATTCTATAGGCGATATTAAAAACTAATCTTTCACAACCAGCTATTTTACTTGTACCCAAAACATGCTGACACCATCCACACCCATGTGTGGATAATCTTTAATATTAGACAAACCTATCATTGAAACATATTCAAAAGCAATGTCATTTTATCAAATTATTAAATTAATAAACACCAATAGTGTATATATTAATAGTTAATTGTTCTTGAATCAATTGATTAACTAATTAAAAATTAATTACTTTAGTGTAATCTGTATACTCGATCTCTTTTTGATTAAGAATAATGATTATCATTTTTGATAATTTAATTTTCACATCCCAGAATTGACTTTAAAAAAAAGATTTAAATGAAGTAATAATTTATTCATTATAAAAAACTAAAGGTATATAAAAATCGACAAATTTTTATTAAAAGCTACTAATATTATAATATTGATTTGAAAATAATGAAAGAATTCAATAATTTTCAAAATATTAGGCATATATTGAAAGTGTAAGTGTTCCATTTTTTATTTATGATAATTTGGTTTAAATAGGAAAAAGCAATTATAATTAATAAGCTATAATTATTTAAATATTGATTAATTGCATTGAATAAATTTAGTTGTCTGAAGAGCAATTAAGTACAATTTCAATCACTAATTTTATATTAAAACAATTTAGTGAAGAATCTATATTTACAGGCCATCTAAATTCCTTAAGATTTTATTTTTCCATTCAAACAAACAAATGAGTATTTATTGATGAAATATTTTTAATTCTATGCTGATATATTATTTATTTCACTTTCTCCAAATTTATTATAAATATTGTAGCATAAATAGATTAAACTATAATAATTAGAGAATAATAGACTCTTTTGCCAGGACAACTTAAAATATATGCTATTTGCTTTTCATAACAAAAATTTATTGTAAACACTAATTTATTTAAATTGGAGATTAACATTGCCTCAACATTATTACCTTTTATGACTATATTCTTCTATTAGTAGTATGAAACCATATATTATCTTGGCTCTATTAGTCAAGGCATCTATATTTTAACAACAGAAGAAGTATAATTACATTCAAATATAGTTAGATGAGATTATGTGATGAATAAGGTAGAAGCCTCTTAAATATCATTGATGGTATCATTTTTGGTGAGATTGAAATATTAGATTAAGTAAATAGAAAAAAAGTGATTTTGCATTGAAAAATTCTTTTGTTATCATTTTCCTGTTCAGATATTTATAAATTTTATTTAGACATCTGAATTAGAATAATTAGGATTGAGGAGAAAAATTTCAATCAAAGAAAGCAATCTAAGAATAAGATATAATTAATTTACATTATTTCCAGAAAATCAAAAAGTCAGATGGGTTTTGCTGAATCAAAAGAAAAATATTTAATAATTTAATTATGAAAATTTAATATAAATTTAATAAGATGCATAATGATTTCATAAAATCTACATAAAAACTAATATTTTTTTGCAAGAGCAGTAAGTTGTATAAATTAAAATGAATAACGTAAACCTACAGATATAAGTAAATATATTATGGAAAAAGAGTTTAAACAGAGAATTAAAAAAGAATCATTTTAATTTCTGTAAATAAGGTTGCTAAAGTAAATATCTGGCAATAATTAAGAATAAAAATGGAGATTATTTCAAAAGCTTAGAAATGCTGTTTAGAAAGTGATTAAATTTAATAAATAAAAAAAAGAAATAAATAAAAGGAGAAGGGGAAGTTATTTAGGATATTAGAGGATTAATAATTTCATAGGGACAACTGAAAATGAGAAAAGATTGAAAAATTAATATTTAAATTGCATAAGCAAAATAAAAAGGACAATTTATTAAAACAGTAAAGTAAATAATTAATCGTGTAAAATCAGGATTATAAGTGCCAATGCTTATTACTCCTTCACCTTATTCTTATCTTATATTAAAAGAGTAAAAATAATAAATTTTAGAAAAAAAAGAAAAAGACTTAATTAAAGCTCCGAAAACAATAAAAGATAAGTGAAATCAATTCATTTTACTAAATAAGGTAATTTAATGATTTATGGAGTAAACTTTAAGATGAATTAGTTTCATATAAGAATGCAAGAACAAATGGAGTTTATTTTTGAAATCTAAGGATTGATTAAATCTATAATATGAAAAAATTTGCTAAGTATTTATAATATTTAAACTAAAAATATAAAATTATTTTTCCTTCTCTTTGCATTATTAGATATTAATTAAATCAAGTAATCTTCATTAATATTTTCAAACTATTAATAATTAAATAATATTACAGTTTTTCAATTGTTATATACATTTTTTATTCATTTGAAACATCATTCAAACATTTATGAAATTGTTTAATATAGGATCTATCCTTTTAGAAACTTTTTAATTTTTGTATATTTTCAAAATTTTACAATTTTTCTGGAATTTACAAAGATTTATCAAAATTAGAGAACAATGATTTAGCCTAAATTAAAAATAATGATATACTTTTTGCATATCATCATTCCTGATGTCTTTTCCATTTATTTAAATTATAGATGGAAATCTATAAACCAAAAATTAAAACATGAAAGAGCAATTATTTATTGGATTATTTAGTATTGTTATTTTTTGAATTTCATTTAAATGCTTTGAATTATAATAGACTATTGATGTAATTATCCTTCAAAATTATTTCTCTTAATTTAGAATAGTCTTTCAAAATCGATAATTAAGTGTCAATGATAGAATCAAAAATACATATTGAAAATGGATTATTTGAATAATTTAACTAAAATTTTAAGTAGGTAATACCATAGCCGATGCTGTGCCGTAAATCAATAAAAAGACATCCTAAATATTATACACAATGTTATACATCTTCGACTTCAGCATGACCTCCTTCTCCAAGTTGATGTTATAAACAGCTCTTTTTATTAAATTAATTATTTTTTTCTAACATTTGAATTCTTCTATACTCTGCTGTCCATTATTTTTTAATCAATATTAAAATATCGTCTTCTTAGGCAGCTACAGTACTTGTCAAAGAATTCTATAGACTTGGAATTGTTTCTCTTTATGGTTGTTACAGTTTTGATTATAATATATATTTGTTTGTTTATCCTATCTTAATTTAAAACGTTTCTGAAAGTAGAATACTTTATTTTTTTTAATTCTGTTGAATCACAAAAATAAAGCTTAAAAGTACATATATTTATTGCACACTTATTGTTATAATTATGGTTATGAATTTTTATAATTTGTTGGTTCCTTTTAATTTATTCAAAAGGAACGATTTCCTCTTTTGTTGTAAATTCTGAAGTCACACCATGAATTTCAAGGCCCATTTGATTAGGCTTTTTGATTTTTATTATTATTATATCTGTTGTAAATTGACAATTTTTTTCTTAATTGGTTCAGATTTTGGGATTTCAGCAAATAATATTTCTTATTTTATTTAATCAATAGGTTTTCCATCTAAAATTTTTAAAGTCTCAAAAGTTTAGCATATATATCTAAAATAATCATATTTATTAGTTTAAATAGGGTTATTTTCGAGAGATAATTCAGATAGGTTGAAAATATTAGGGAAAGAATTATTTTGTTTTAAGACATAAAAAATTTTTATAATTAAGGGAGAACTAAATAAAATATATGATTATACCTTATACGTGATCTATATTCTCAATTTAATTCATTTTAATGTTTAATTCGATTAAAGTATTTAATTCTTCAAGTGCTTCCAATTTTGTAAATAGATTATTCTCAACTTTTATAATTTTTAGACTTTTTAATTTGCTTAATCCTTCTAAATTAGCAATACGATTGCTATGTAAATCAAGGACTTCTAATTTAGTGAGATGATCTAAAATTTTGTATTCGACGGATTTAATTTTTAGGAAACAATAATACTTTGAATTTTTTAATTTATTTCAATTCATCGATTTCTTTAATTTAATTATCATACAAGTCTAGATATAATAGATTTGGCAAGGAAACAAGATTTTAGATACATTATATTCTGTTATGTTGATAAGTTAAAATTCTTAACTTTTCTTCTCCCTCCAATAATGGCATATGAGTCAAATCTAAATAATCGAGACTTAATTTTTCTAAGTTATTTGCTCTTTCCATAGGTCTTCTATAACAAACCCATATGACCTGTATTCGCTATAATTCAGAGAAGACAATATTTCCTCCATTTTCAATCTTTTTAATGGTTCCATTTTTAACCAAATATCGATACCTACAATTAATTGTAAAATCTTGACCTCTCATCAATTTCAACTGAAGGGATGTCTTGAAACCCTTGAGAGTAACAGAGTATATCATTTTTAGTTTTCTTTTTTGTAATTTCAGGGAATTAACTAGAAATAGGTGGTTGATTTGTTTGAGTTGGCTTGTATGTTGTTTTTTTAGAAAAACCAGTTGAGTAGGTAGCATTAACTTCAGATGATTTTTGATTCTTATTTGGAGACATGGATGATTTTGTCTAGTAGAAATAATTTGAATTATTACATATGCATAGCTTGATTCTTTATTCATTAAAATAATAATGTATAAAAATGAACTAGACTACACTGCAAACTTAAAATTTATTGATGATATCACTACAAAAGAGTTTAAGCAATATGAAGTTGGACATCGAAAGACATATTCATAACCAGATCAAATCCAATTAAAACGCTAACCTGATCGCTTAGGTATTCACATATATTATTAATATAAGAAATTTCAATCAATTAAAGTATAACTTTACAAATGTATCCGAGCATCTTCAAATATATAAAGATTAAAGTGAAAGAATATACAAAACCATTAAATTTTGTTTACGAATCAAACAATAATTAATGTTTGATCAAGATATTTGTATCATCAATAACTGATAGTCCAAATATATTAAATAATAGTTTACAAGTGATTGTAAAAATAGTCATCTATAGATTAGAATAAATCAAGATTTTAATTTACTGAACCACCATCTCACATTACAAAATTCAAATGCGATTATGTGTACTTATCAATATACACTGATAAATATACAGATTTAAAGATCAAAGCAACTGTTGGGGTTCATCAATCCAACTCTAATAGAAGCCTTTAAAAAAGATAATAAACTCCAATGCTTTAACTTCCTAGAGAGTTATTGACTTCTAGAGAACCAGGCAGTTATACTTATAGAAGTAATCTCTCATGTATTATTATTAATCTTTAAGGTTAATAGTGCATAAACCTAAAACTAGTTCATCATTTATTCGATCTAATAAGGAATCATAAGTGAAATTCAAATTAATATTGGATTTTAAGATCAAAAATACTAAACAGAAGAATTCATTAATAGAAGAAATGATGAAAAAAAAGTCTATGATTTAGCAAAATAAAAAAGTATAATTGTTGGAATAATCTTACACTCATGAAATTGATAGATTACAATCGAGAGTATAAAGATTAAGAAGTGAAATCAAGTTCCATATCAGCAACATTGATATATTATGGTTAGAATTACTTGTTATTACTTTGTTAGCCAAAAAGATCAAACATTAATATTATGTATGTGTAAATTTAAATAGAAACGAGTCATGAGAATAGTTATTAATAATAAGGTTTAAGTTTGTTGTAGAAAGTTCATGAGAATTATGCTCAATAAGATCAGTTTCAGATATTAATATGGGAAAAAAGAAGCTGTCTATCTTGATACAAACATTTTATTTTATTTTGGAGCCAAATTAATGAGAAGTAAAGCTAAATAAAGAGCTTATTCTTACCTCAATCATTTCCTATATAGATATGGTCATCTCTCAAATGGAATGAATAAAATGTAATAATTTAATTTGAAGATTAAATATATTTAATTGAAATGGAAGCAATTCAAAAAATCTGAAGCAAATTACTTAAATAGGGTAGCTGATCAAATTATTGATAAATGGGGTTTTTTATATAGAGAAATTATTGGAGATTTGTAAAATGCTCCTAAATCTGCCCCTACTTAAGACAAAAGGGTGCTCTTAGAAACAATTTCTGATAATCTTAATAATTATAAAAGATCATTTCTTTAATTGAATAACATATTTGATAAATTGGCAAGTGGAGCAACTGTTTTTAGACCAATGAATAATATTATTATGAAGGATATCATGCATCAATATGTAATAAAAAAAGGCAATAAATTTTAATGATTTATATATATATTTATTAAATATATACAAGTAGATTAATATATGGTGAGTCAAGATTTGATATTGCTATGACAGATCTTATTTAGTAAATAATACTTTTACTTCAGCTATAATAGATTAGAGTGATTCCATAAGCAATTCATCCATCTATTTAATATAAGAAAACATTTACAAATGGGAATATTTTAATCATACAGTTAGGATTATTTTCTCTTATTAATGATTCTACATTGAGATCTCGCTATAATAATATAGCAGCATTAAAGAACCGATAGTAATTCTCTAATATTATTAGATTAGTAGTCATACATACCTGAAAAAAAGAGAGTGTGTATATGTTTTGGATTATTTTGGATCCAAAAATGAAGACCAAAATGTTTCTCATTGACTTCATATTCTCTATAAAAGAAATCATAATCAAATGTCTAACGTACATTTAGTAAATTATCAGTTGTGATTGATCTATTTCTTGTTCTCTTCAAAAGTTGCAAAAATTCTTATTCATTCATTTTAAACTTAGGAGAATATATCAAAATTTTTAGCTAGCATAAGTCTTCCATACCTTCATCTGCAGGTATAAAATCAAAATTTAGAAAAGCAGATTCAGATAAACTCTTTTTTCTTTAACTCTCTCTTATTACTATCTGTCCAATTTATTCATATTTCTTGATTTATTAAATTAACCTTATACTTTTAGATATTCTTCACATGTTTGAGCATGCAAACCTCCACTTCTACGACGCCTTTCATGAATTGGTTGTTTTTATTATTATTACATACCAAATAAAAAATATTTTAATATAAAAATTGGTCATTAAGATTCTTCATCATTTATTTTAGGGGCTAAATACAATTTCAGCGATCCCATCTCTTCAATTATATATTCAATCACTAATGGTTAATCTTAAGACATTGACAATATAACTTGGCTTGATAATGCAGATGCTTTATTAAATAAATTGAAATATCTATATTAATAATTTTAATTTTACCTAACTGCAAAACTTAAATTTACTGGTTCATCAACTTCACATTCTACTCTCTCTTCTGGCTTCTCTGTATCGTTTATTTTAACAGATACTTGGCCCTCTCCAATATCTCCCTTAACATAAAATTTTATTCCTTCTTTTGATGTCTCAATACCAATAGCTTCATTGATGTTTCCTAACTCTCTACATATCTTTGTGAATTCATTTGATGGCATTCTAACTACTGAAGAATATTCTGTATCAGGCACACCTAATTATTCTTAATCTAAGGACATTAAATTCAATTAAAATTCACTTATTCTATCTAATCTATATATATATTAATTACTTTTTGATTCAAATGTAAATGACAATGTTGTTGGTTCTTCATCTTAAGTTCTCAAAGTTATTTAATCATCATTTCCAGAGCATTTCAATATTTTTTACAAATTTTCAATACTTAAACCCATAGTTAAAGATTTTTCGCATCTGTATTTCTTGAATCCCTTCTCATTTAATTGCAAGGCTACTAAAGCAACATGTGAAGTGTCCATAGCCTTATTTTATATAATTATAATTTTACTTATAATGAAATTCCTGTTCCATTTGCTTCTAAATTAACATTCTTTACTAATTCCTTAATTGCCTCAACAATCTTCTTGAATAATCCTCCATCTTCAAACTTGGCTTCAAACATCTTCAATATTTAAATTAATTAAAGAGGGAAATATTGTAATTTAGATTTGCCCGGGTAATTAGTATGTTATTAAAAAAAAATTAATTTTTTAATTTCATTATTTTATAGAGAGTAATTCTATAATTATCTGCTTTATCATTTTATAACTTAAACTTTTGAGCAATAAATCATTGTATGCTAAATGATATTTCCCTCTATCTTAGTATTGAAAATAAAAATATTATAGTTTATATATTTTTCAGACTTATCAACCTTTCCAAATTCAAATAAATAAAGAATAGAGATTAATAATAATCTGACTTTTAAACAAACAAGATAATCAAAGATTATTTAATGATAATTAGAATGTCTTCCATATACTTTTCATAAAAAAATATTTATCTAATTTAAATAAGTAATAACATTTATCCTTGAAAGTGATCTAACATATATGAAAATAAAATAACCGAAAGAATATATAAGGAAATTAGGTGTTTTGCTGTATTCAGAATAAAGAAATAATGGTTTTTAAATAAAAAAATAAAGTAAAAAAAAGTGATTATTTGAATGACATTTTTACAATTCTATATACAATCAAAGAGCTGGACAATCTATTGAGATTTCATTTTTTTTTCTATTTACAAATTTATTTCTTCTCAACGAAAATTAGGCTTTGGTTTCAGTTAAGTTTGAAAAATAATCATCTTATTTTTTTTTTGGGTCTGTGCAAAATTACAAATTTAATTTTCTTAAATACTCCATAATTGATTTGATCTTTGGATTAGGTTTGTGGTATATCTCTAATTCTATTGAATCTAAACTTGAATTTAAGGAGTCTTGCATTATAATTTATGAATTTATTTTATTAAATAACTTAATTAAAATTCCTTTTTAAATGATCATACTTGAATAATAATCTTAAATGATAAAACTGAATTTAATAATATTTAATAAATAACATGCTTTAAAGAAAATTTCTAAATTTAAGATAGTTGTATTTCTTTTCAGGTAAGTTTAATGCACTATCAATAAAATCATGAATGGATAAATTAATTTTCTGTTTGATTTTCATAATCATTATAGTGTTATAAATAAAATCAAATGATTTTTAGAGAAACAGTCCACTATCCTATCCTATATATATAGATTTTGTATAATTAGATAGAAATAAATTCAATTGTAAAGATTATGAATTTGATATAGAAATAATGTTGATAAATCACTAAAAATTATTTATATTTTAAATTTGAAAGTGTATAAATTAGAGTAAATCACATATACAGAGATAAAGTATAATGATAATAATAAAATTAAATAATTAGTTATAAATGAAATCAATTACAATATTGGTATACGTTTTCTTTATCATCTATAGAAACAGAGTGGTCTATGTATAAATTAAAAATTACATTATCTATTTGATCCTTTAGCATTTTTATCAACATTTGTAGGTTTCTTTTCACTATTCGCAAAACTAAAGTTACTTTGTCTCGAATTGCAAATAAATGTTAAAGGTTATTTTTAATGTTTTTATTAATTTTAAGCGTCACTTTAGAATTAAACTAATTTTTAGGATAAATTGGAAGAGAGTTCTTAATCATCTAGAATTCTATTTAAAATTTATTCTTATAATGGGCTTGGTTTAATAAATAAACAATTATCATTAATATCCTAATCCTCTGTGAACCTTTTATTAGGTTATGGCATTTAAAACTTATTAGGTTTACAAATTAATTTTGGTTTATTAAAAGCATAATTGGAATGATTAGATTAGTATTAAATAATTGGTTGATGAGTTGAAATGCTTGACACTTCTGTTTAAAAAGTTTCATTATGATTTGATATATCTTCTAATTAAACTATCTCTTTAGCCCTTGAAGTTGATAATTTTGATTCTAGAGAACCTATTTAAATGTTTGCTTTATGTAATTTTGATCTTAAGTTCATTACATAATTGTCTATCTTCATAATATATTGATTATCCTTTATATAAATTATGAAAAATACTCTTTGTTATATTCTTTTTAATTCTTATAATTCTTCTAGAGCTAATTTATATTCATGATCTCTTTCATTTAATTATATTTTAAGTTTTGCTATTTCCAATCTAAATGAGGCATCTCTCTATTGTAATTTGTGTATTGTCATTATATTAAATTTGAAAATACTTCTTTTAATTATTAAGTGGACTATTATTACTAGCTGTTACTTCTCATTAAATTGTTTAATTATTTAAAATTATAACACATTACAATTATAATTTATGATTATATTTTGAAATTAGACTTTGGCTAAATATTGTGCATAAAAACAGATTCAATAAATTATACAATAAACTAAACATGTTAAAATGATATTTAGATTTTAAATTAATTTTAAATTAATGATAATCTTTGTTATTTTTGTTATTTATCCTTTATCTCATCTCTTTAAATTTGATAAAATTAGGAACCAATTCTGGTGTTGTTATTTTGATATAAAAAAAATAAATTATATAACATTAGTAATATAATCATGAAAATTATATCGTTTTTATTAATAATTACATTCACAACTGGGCACTTATAATTATTAGATGATTTAAAATAAACTTCATTTGGATAATCATTAGAATAGACTATCTTATTATAACTTCAATATGATGAGAATAAGTATATTTATATTATGGAATTAGATTGAAATCAATTTTGTAAGAAATTTATAGTTCTATGAATGAAGAATAGATTATTGATGATGCTAATTTTAGACAAGAATATGAAAATTGCAATAGTAATGATTTATAAAATGATATCATCGCAATCAAATATGAAGAATCATCTATAAAATAAAAAATGAAATTGTTAAATAATTCATTTGAATTATAAGTTTCCTAATAAAAACAAAAAGAACTATAATTTAATTAAGAATAACTTAATTAATACATTAAATAAATGGAATAAGAGATAGAAAATCAAGTTCATAATCTTAAAGAATGTGATGTAGGTAAATTTTTACAAATTAGGAACTATTGGAACTCCTACAATATCTAAGATTCTAATTTGAAAAGAAATTGATGAGTTAACTTAGTAATTAGAAGAGCCAATACTTATTATAATTAAAACAAGAGATTCAAGATCAAATAAAAATTATTAACAAGATGATAAAAAAACAAACATATAATAATTTTATTAAACTCTTAATTTCTTAGTTTGAAAAACAAGATTAAAATTATCAAAAGTATTCATATTCAATTTTTATTAGGTTACACAAAATAATATTGTAAATACAAGAAATAATTGAATAAAATAGAAATTAAATAAGAAAATAATTTGATGAAGATATGAAGCACTTCTAAACAAATATTTAATATTATTAATAAAATATCTAATAAATTTAACAGGAGATATAATTGTTATAAGTATGATAAATTTATAATATTATTGTAGGAATAATAAGTATAAATAGAAAAAGAACTAAAATATTTCTAAGAATAATTAAATAAGATTATTGAGATTTATGAAATTAAAAATTAATTATAGATTGATAAAGATAATATGTGTAAAACCTTAGCTGAAGATTATAATGATTATAGAAATTTCAGAAATAGCTAAATTTAATAATTAGTGAATATTTTAAATCTTGTAGAAAGAGATCTGTTTTTGATTAAAGATCATTATGTATTAAATGGATAATTGAGATAATGAAAAATATAAAATAATTATAAAAATTAATGAATAATCGAACATCCATAAAGGTGGAGAATGAAAATGAATATGATGAAAATTGCAGTGTTGAGTATGTAAATTAAGAATCAGAATCAGAAGATGATGAAAATAACTATAGTGATTATAATGTAGATTCTCCTTTGTCTCCATGTTATGATAATTTGTTAAAGGAATAACACCCCTTTCTATAATATTAAAGTATTTTTAATTACATAATTAGCAAATAGAAATTGCCTTAGAGAACTATTTAGATCCATTTTATAAAGTGGGTTATAAAGCCTATTCTAAAGATTGTTTTTTTGATGAAAAGAAATATTCTTAAGAATTTATTGATCATATCAAATTTGCAGATTTTTAAACCTTTAGTTTTAGTGTTTTAAAAAAAAGTGCATCTTTTTTTGGAACAATAAAGACATAAATATATTTCTAATACTAAAAGGATATAGACCTTAAAAATTGTGTATTGACACTTAATAATGATTAAAATGAAATTGTAAAAACCATACTATATCATATTTTATGTTTCACAAAAGAATTAGATACTTTAAATCAACCTATATTTCATTGTATATTAATAATTTTAATAAATTTAAGTGTAAAAGGCTTTAGAAATAATAGCTCATTAGGAGTAAACAATAAAAGATGAAATTTATATGTAAATTGTAAAGCAGATTTAGAATAATAACACATAATATTTGATTCATTATTATTAATTTATGGCAGTTTACTCTACTATGTTCTGTCCAAGCAAAAATTATTTTAAACCTTTATTTAATTTTTTTTATCAAAGAAAAGAAAATAACTCATTACATTAAAATTATTGTAATTTTATTTTAAATAGAATTTATCGCACTTATAATACAAAAAGTGGTAAATTTAAGTATAATATTTAGATTAAATATTTCTAACTGAATAGGATATCAATAAAGTAATGCATATGAAACCATTATTATATGAAATATCTTTTTATCATTTTGCAAAGTTTTATATGGAAATGCAAGTTGATTTAAAATGTGGTGATATTTTAAATCATATTGCAGAATAATTAAATTTAAATCATCGAAACTCTTTATGTTTATGTTTAGTAAAAATAAATAAAAGAATAAATGAAATTTATTTAGATGATGAAGATTGTTTATTCAAAATCATTAAAGATCATATTTAAACATATAATAAAACAACAGAGATTATTAACACACCCTAACCCTCTTTTAAATTAGTAATTAAATTAATTAAAATATCCTCACCATATTAAAATTTAGAAATATTCACCTTAACATATATGATAGTCATTTAGGATTATTTAAATGATGTAAAAATTATAAAATATATTTTATAGTTTTTCCCTTTAGATGATGATGAAATAGAATTAATTTGTTCCCTTAAATTGGCTGCTGATTATGGTCCAAAAAAACATTTAAAAGCTGAATAGATTGATTTGAATGAATATATTCCTGTATTTAAAAAGAATACATTTGATTCAAATGAGAGATTGAGTAAAATTATTTAACTTTATCATTAATCAAGAGTGATTAATTCAAGAGATGCAAGAAATAAGATTCTTTAGATTTTAGATTAATACCCTCGTTTTTTAGGAACAACTTTTAAGTGTTCATTTAAGGAGTTAAATTAAACTAGTAGCACTCCTAATACAAAAATAATATTAAATATCACTTTTAGAGGTTTGATATGTAGTCTACCCTCAGATTAAAGAGAATATATATGTCATATTGACTATGACTTAATAACTAATTTTAGTAAAGCAAATAATAAAACTTTGCATATTGTAACATTAGACAAATAAATATATTTGACTTTTTTTACTCATTTAGAATGCTAATAAGTTTACTAATTTATTTTAAAGCATGAAAGTTAAATCTCATGTAATGATTTTAATTATACAAATTTATCATGATTTATATTAATTAATTAATATTATTTATATATATTCATCTTGTAATTAATAAAATATGAATAAGAATAAAGGTGTAAGTAAAGATGTTTAGACACCGCAGTTTTTGGAAAAGAAACCTTAAAATTTGAATCCAAAGCTTAAATAATCAGATTTAAATAGAAAATTGTTTACAATGCCTATTGATGCTAAATATAAAGCTGTGCTTGGACCAGATACTGCAAGTTTAGTGGCTTATCTAAAGCAAAAGAAAAAAAAAGAAAAAGCAATATAAAAATTGAAAGATTCAGGAAAAATATAGATAATAAAGGAGCCTAAATAAACAATTGATAAATCCTTGCCTTAAGGAATCTATGAAACTGAAGAAGGTAAATTAAAAGATATATCTGGAAAAATTATTAGACTAAATGACTAAGCTAAGTCTCTAAAAATAAATTAAGAAAGGTAGAAGCTTGACAAAATTTAAGAAATGCTAAAAATTTAAAACAATTTAAAGGATGCTTTAAATGACAAGGGACGATTTTTAGATAAAAATGTTACAATATAACGTAGTAATTTAAAAAGATAAAAAAGAAAATTATTGGCTTTTAATTTTATTGAAAATGGTAATATAGATAAGGAATAAGTATAATAAACTTCTGTTTAAATATAAGATGAAGAAAAAGACAAAGTATAAGTACAAGAAAAGGAAATATAAAATTTAACTACTACATCAGTTCAAACAAATTTTAAAAGAGTTTGTGTTAAAATGAAACATCATGATCCAATTCCAAATATAGAATGGTGGGATGTTCCTTTATTTCCTGAATATTAGGCAAATTATATTCCAATTAATATAGAAAGTGAATAAGAGCATAAATAACCTGCTACAGCTCATACATAAGAAGAAATCTAAAGGAATATCACATTTTTAGAATAATTATAATATACAGATACAAATATATTATTAGATAAAATAACTAAATTACTTGAGCATCCAAAACCATTTGTCATAAGTGAATTAGTATAGAATAGAGAAAAAGCTGCTTTGCCTTCATTTTTAACAAAAAAAGAAAGAAAGAAAAGATTGAGAAAAATACGTATGGATATTTAAAAGGAGAAATAAGATAAAATTAGATTAGGTTTATAGAAACCATCTCCACCAAGAATAACTTTGTAAAATATGATGGCCATTTTAGGAGCTGAAGCATAAATAGATCCAAGTAAAGCTGAACAAGAAGTAAGAAGATAAATCTAGGCTAGATTAGATAAACATATAAAATAAAATGAAGAAAAAAAATTAACTAAAGAATAAAGAGGTGATAAATTAAAATTAAAATGGTAAAAGGATGCTGCATAAGAAATTAGAGTTGCTGTATTTAGAATTGATGATGATTTATCATCAACTAATTTAGAATCCAAGAAATTAAAATTTAAAGTAGATATGAATGCATAATAGGTGAGTTTATAAGGTGTTTGTTTAATAGCAAATTAAAATGGATAATAAGTTGTACCTTCAATTGTAGTAGTAGAGGGAGGACCCAAAGGAATTA